TTTTCCCTGTGTTTTTTATACATCTGTTGTCTTTTATTGTGATTGTAGTAATGTGTTTTTATTACATGTACAGCACTTTGGCTCGACCAAAAATCGCTTTTAAAATGTGCTTTAGAAATAATCCCTTGATTTGATTTGATATAATTCACAAAACAAGGATGCTACTGATGGATCGTTGAGCCACCAGGTCTCTAACACATGTGTGGGGGGGGGGGGGCGTATGTGAAAGTTCTCCTCACCAGTTAGAACTGCCATGCTGCAGCATCTCGCTTTCACCGAGGTCTCTGGGGATGGCAGGTAAGTAGGACACAGTGTGCTTTTCAGACTTTGGATGTTTTAATTTCTTTGGTTGTTCAGTTGTACACACAATTACAAAACTAATCATTCAGAAAGGCAAGGAAGAGGTAGAGATCCCCCGTGAAGAATCAGGGTAAGGGGGGGTGAGAAGTCGGCCAAACACGAGGGGAGAGAGTTATGGTGATTCTGATGAATGCTGGGAAGTGTTTAGTTATACTCACGCAGTGTAGGTGTGTGTGCGGGGTGCGAGGGTACGAGGGGCCGCCTGTAGTACCTCAGTGGGGCTCATCATCACGTAAAACTGGCCTGGATTTTAAGAGACAAAAAAGGAAAATTAAGTTCTCCTTAAATAATAATTGATTTTCCTTTTTTTTACTGACCATGTAATGCATGCTGGTGTATTAGGGCTATCGTAAGTACAATATTTGAAGTAAATACAATACCTGGGAAATATTCCAAGAAAAAAATAATTCTAATTTAAAAGCCAAAATGTGTGTGATGTTTTTTTGTGTCAAGGAAAAATTAGTGCTTCCTTTTACAAGGTTGGATCCACCTCATCACATCACAAATGTAAAAACAAGGAATTCCTCGTGTTCATGTGAGGAAGTGCAAAAGTTCCGAATTGATGTTGTTTTCTTACAAACAGGCTTAATCTAAGGCAATGTCTCTTTAAAATATTTACGCTTATGATAGTACGCTGATTCTGGGCTAAAATACCTATTATCTCCTTATGCTAAATCCCAGGAAGTAAATATGATTAGTTGATCCACTGGCGCACAATGCACGGCCATGCGTGTGATGCGATGAGGATAAGAAAGATGATACATTTTGTAAATCATCATTAGAAGCCTTTATTTAATATCTATTCGTCTGTCCTCATTTTGTAAAACAAGGGGTCCCATTAGGAGGGCGGCTGCTGTTCCCCACCTCCTGCCTGAGCTATCGTGGGGTCGGAGGTGGTCTGCACGGACACGGCGGTTCCATCGCTGACGGTGGTGGCAGGGAAATAAGCGAAACGCGTCTCTCCTCCCACCGTCTCCCCCCCAGGACTGCCCCCATTACTGAAAGGGTTCTGGATGACAGCCTGGCAAAAGGTAGATTCACACAGTAAACAACCAGTACATCATATGCGCTAATGCTATGTATGTCTTTTTAATAATCATGATCTGTATAGCACCTTTCAAGAAATGCAGCACACATTTCTTTACAACAAGCAAAACAATGGATATTGAATTAACATTAAAACAGGGATAGAATTTCAAATTAATGAAAAAGAACTTCATAAAAGTAAAATCAAGAAATAATAATCAAGATAAAAAAAGACAATAGAATGCATAAAACAGTATGGAAAATATACTGACAGATTATCAAAAAATAAATAGAAAAAAAATTAAAATCAGTTCCCATACTTGCAGCCTGCTTATATAAATGGTGCAGCATCTACTCTGCACACCATATGCATGAGACAACCCCCCCCCCCCCTTTACACCTGCTTCCGCCTCTCGGAGCGTTCACCCACCTGTGCCACTGCCTGGGGGGCTCCAGCAAACGCTGCAGCAGAAACCACACTGACGGCCCCTGACCCATCAGCTGAGGCTTCCAAATGATCGTCTGTCACCTGAACCACACGGTACGTCACCTGCAGGCAGAGCACAGGAAACGTTTCAAAAAGAAGGAGTAATCCCACTTTAGACATTTTGTAGATTTAACTGCACACATTTAATATGAAAAGAGCTTGTTAGCAAAAAGCAACCAACTTCACTCCTAGTTTTTCCAAAAATCCAAAGGTTCAACAATCCTTTAGAGTTCCTACTGTTTGTTTTGTTTTTAAGTGTGAATAAATATCAGGGGTCTCATCTGTTTTCTAATGACACAGTGGGGAGTTGTGATTATTTCTAGCGTGCAAATTAATCAGTATGTGTGAACACGTTTTAACCTGGGAGCATTTCTAACATACAAAGGGCTTGTAATCATCCATCAGCACTCTGAACATTAACCGTTAGCTAAACCTCTCAACGGAACATGGTTATCTAATCTTAGTGTCTGTAACTTGGCGTGGCAGACTTGCAAAGCGCAGAATTTCCCAACATGTGGGAGTGGTGTGTGAACGGGCTGAGGAGAGAACTATAATCAGCGTTACAATAAATGAATGGGTTGTGTGTTTTTTTTAGCTTGACCAAAACTGCTCCAATGCAAACTGCAATGGTTAGCATGCCTTTGTAACAATAGCAAAACAGCCAGAATCTGAATACTCCTGTTCTGTCTTCGTTAAGTGTATTAGTTATGTTAATATGAATTTACTTTATTTATAATACACTTTTCAAAACAAACTTACTGCATTACATTACTAAAACAGGAGCAAAACACTTCAACTGTAGAGCTAAGCTAAGAGATTTATGACTGCTAAGCATCCATTTTGCAACAATACAAATTAAATGGAAATAAAACCTCCAAAGCATTTATTTTTAACTTAAAAACACGTTAAAAACACATAAATGTGCCTTGCATTATTAAATAGCTCCTTAGTAAAAAATATACATTTTAAGAATTTATGTAAAAACTATGCTATAGGCTACTTACTGATGTTTTGTTTCTTAAATGACTTATTAACGATTATATCAGAGTGATAACTGCTTTATGTGTGACTTAATTCTCTTGTTGTGTTGTTTATTAATGTAAAGTACCGGTTTCTCTTGTAAAGGAAAATATCTGGATCATAGTGAGAAACGTTTATCTCTCCACACATCCTCCATGCTCACCTGTCCTCCGCTGTTCTCTGTGCGGAACTGGTACTGCACATTGTGGTCAGTGAACGCAGCCTGCGGGACGCCGGTGATGGTCACTGCGGTCTGCTCCACCGTGCCCACCGACTCTCCTGCAACACAGAACAGGTTTCCAATCTGTGAGGCTGCACAGGCACAACCACGAAAGACAAGTAAGTGGATGAATATGCATTACACATTTTATTTCCAGAAAATGAGCAGGTTCCACTTTAGAATGAGAAGAACCTCACCTTCCTGTAGCTGCACCACCTCTTCTGTTTCCCGTTTGTCGTGACTAGAAACAAACAGAGAGTCAATTATTGATCATAAATGAATATGTGAATAAAGCTCTCAAAGCAAGGTGTGGGCGAATGGCGACCCCTGGTGGTCCCAGGAGGAGATGATGGAGAAAACATAAATAAAGTCATCCATCACTGGCGGGCAAAGCGTGACAGAAGTCATATTTTATGCAACTTTCAGGAGAAAACTATGTATTATGTAATGATTAAAACTCAACTGTAAGTGATTATATTAGGTGCACAAGCAAGGGAAAAACTTCAGAAATATATATAACACTATTAACACCGCCCTTCCTAGTTTAATTTAAGCATTTCAATGCTAAAAGAGTTGCATTAGTGAAACAACAACGTTAAACTAAGTGTGATGTCTGGAAAATAAACCCAAATCGCTGATGTGCATTTGCTTTTCTTATCCTGTAAATAAAGCAGTAATCGTGATGTTACACATTTGCAAAAGGGCGCACACTTTCTGCTGAAAATGTGAAAATGACGGATACAAAAAACGCCTCATCCAGGAAGGCTGCACCCAGATTCAGCAGGAGGTAAAACATAAACAATGCACACATCTTACAAGTTTCTGTGGCATGCAGGTTATTAACAGCTAGAAGAAAAAGCTTTTAGGCCGTGGAGGGAGCCATGTCTGAGCAGGAAGCGGGGCAGCAGCCTCTCACCTCCCCGAGCTGTCCAGACTCTGCTCCAGCATATCCATGAAGCTTTTTGCGGGGTTAAAACGCCGATATTCAACGACACTGATTTACGGAGATGGAAGCGCTGATCACGGGGACAAACACACGGGTCATGTGAGGAAGACAGTCCAGGACACGTGAGGCACCGACCGGGCAAGGAGCTAAAATGGAGGCCGCTGCTGAGCAGGAGGGAGTCGTCTGCGTCTGTGCGGAAAACCGAAAAAAACACACACTCCGGGGGCTTACGCAGCTGCACGGCGGCGGCGGTGCTCCGGGGAGATCGTTAGAGTCTTTCAGATGAACCTGCTGGGTGTACGGCTGGAGGATTATTTCATGTTAACGGTTCGATTGAAGTGTTGTTGTCCTTGGGTTTCCTTGTTGTTGCTCGCGACGTACAGCTGCTGTTTATCCGCGCAAAGCTGTGGACTGCGCCATGCGGCCAATAAGATGCGGAGTGGATTGGTTTCTGCCTTTTTATATTGTGTTTAAATGTGTGTTTTGATCAGTGTACATGTTCCTTTGCCTTTTAATATTTCACATAGTGTAACCTAGCATTCACGTGACTCCTCTGGGGCAAATAGTTTTCTAGTTAGTGCATTATCGTGTTTTATTCTCGGTTTATTCCTGCATTTAAAAGTCAGTCACGCTGGGATTATTTGCTTATAATTTCTTAGATTTTGTGTTATATTTGTCAAGGCAATCATATACATGTGTTGTGTACAGTGTTCATCTGACACACACATGCAGACTATCAGCTCCTCAGCTCCTTCAGGTTTTTTGCCCAGGTGACCACGGGGATCCAATACGGGTTTTCACACAGACCACATGACACAAACTGTCCAACGCGCAGAGCACTCCGCTTCTCGTTACTCACTGTTCTTATGTCGTGTTTGACAGCTAGAAGCTATTTTAACTCAAAAACCGGAAAACATGTTGATCCGGGGTTCCGTTTGAGTGGATCATGGTGTTTTGTGTGCAGCCAGTTTCAACCATTAGCCACAGTCTGCTGATTAACACAACTCTCCTGAAGGCACCATATCATATTAAACAAACCGCATTTATGGAAACCCCTCTTACTTTTATCACTTTTTATATAAAGAATTGTGCCTACAATGTAAGTGCATGAGCTCAACAGCTCCAAATCACTGCTCATTGATTTGAGTTTGAAGAATAAGCTGGAATTGAAATCAAATACCATTTTAGATTTATATATTATGTTGTTTATTCACATTAGTTATGCAATTATTTGTATTTATATTGTATTTGTTGATTGCACAGACACGTAAAGCTGTATTGTGTTTTGTTTTGTTCAATAAAGGAAAGATACAACGAAAAAATAATTCGAATGCACTATTTTGTTTTCGTAACTTTACATATTGTTTTGTCTATTTTATGGTCTTTTTATGTTTACTTTTGATGTATTTTACTGGTGACTGTATTATATTGTATGTGAAAGACACAATGGAACTCAGATGTGCATTTAAATTATAATGTAGCCCCTTTCATACAAGAATTGCAGTCATAAGTGCTTCTCACAAAATAGTCACAGAAGATTCAGATTTATCTTTGAATCTTGAATCGTGATATACATTTTCTGTGAAGCACTTTGGACTGCAATTATTGTATGAACTGTGCTGTACAAAGAATGCTTATTATTGTTAGTATTGGGTTTAATGTAAATGTAAATAATACATGTAAATACATTTCATTTTTGAATTAACAGTACCATTGTGTTACCATGGCAACAGTTAGAGTGGCACTCTTCTAGCTTTAAAATGATGAATTATTCACTAGTGTGGAAGGGAATGGGTTAGAATAATAAGAGGTTGCAAAATTGTAAAGGAGGTACCATGCCTATCAACACTTAGTTCATTTAAAATAACAATCTAATGTAGATTTGAGAACAATAGTGGGTTTAACACCATGAAATTAAAACCAAACACAGACATTGCTCATTATACACATTATGAAATGACTGTTAGTGCAGTATAATGCCTTAAAGAAAGTATTAAACCACATTGACATCTTGTGTTTTGTTGTTTTTACACTAAATCCATATAGATTTGTAAATGCTAAATACGACATTCTGTTTCTTATAAAAGTTTGTCATCTGAACTTCTTGGAGAAGCATAAGCACTGTGGTTCGAGTCAAAATCCATGAATGAACAGAAGGGAACTCTCAGGCAATTGATCTTAAAATGATCCCCTAGCATTTATATGAGTAGCGGGTGACTCATTTATTCAGACTGCACACCCATAGTGTGTGTGTGTGAGAGTGTGAGAGTGTGAGAGAGAGAGAGAGAGAGAGAGAGTGTGCGAGAGAGAGAGAGAGAGAGAGAGAGAGAGAGAGAGAGAGAGAGAGAGAGAGAGAGAGAGAGAGAGAGAGAGAGAGAGCGAGCAGAGCGAGAGAGCGAGACGAGGAGACGAAAATATGATAGTAGCTCGAGACGATAAGCGGGCTCTGCAATGCATTCGCTAAGAGGAGAGAGGAGAGCGAGAGAGAAGAGAGCGATAAAGAAAGGAAGATAGAGAGAGAGAGAGAGAGAGAAAAAAAAAAACCACACAACCAAACAACCACCTATGAAGTGCCAAACTTGAGTCCAACCTCTCTCCTCTCCTCCCATCTCATTCTTTCCTACCCGGGCACCCACAGATGGATTTGCAGACATCGCTCTAACAGACTGAAGTGTGCAGGAGGACTTAGAGGAAAGCTCTCATCCCAAGATACCAAAGAAAACCAACAGAGAAGTCTCCGAAAATCCAAAGTTGATCTCCTTCTACCCTCTACCCAGCTATAAAAAGGTAAATCTTCCCATCAAAGTTGACATCTTTTGTGCAGAGTCTTTACTTTGAGCTTTGGGTGGAGTCGACAACCCCTCCCATGTCCTTTGATGAACTTTTCTTTTGAATGTTTTATCTCAATGCACTCAAAAGAGTTTCTGTGCACCTGATGCGGTAAATTATGTTTTATTCTTAATTCTAGCCTTTCAATTATAACTTTGTTTTACTTGTGTGGGAAGCGACAGATTAGTACAGTAAAAGTCCACTTTTATACCTCAATGAGGCGATTGTTTTCTGGATTGATTTTGATTATAAAGTAGGTGAATGTAGATTTGTAACAGAACTGCATGGTCAACTTTCTCCATCATCCTATGTAAAGGCCTGTTTTATGTACTAAGCTCCTTATGCCAGCATTTAGACATGTTGTGCATGGAAAAACAACTGTACAGAATGATTCATTTGATAATCATGTCTGTTTCCAGAAAGACAAGTGCCATGGCGACACCCAAAAATACTCCCCGAGGCTCCAACATACCTCTGTCTCCCAACCGTATCACCCGGCTCCAGGAGAAGGATGACCTGTGCAACCTCAACGACCGGCTGGCCGTCTACATCGACAAGGTGCGCTCACTGGAGTTTGAGAATGCCGGCCTGCGTATGCGCATCACCGAGTCAGAGACAGAGGTCAGCCGGGAGCTGACGGGCCTGAAGGCCGCCTACGAGACGGAGCTGGCCGATGCCCGGCAGACTCTGGACTCTGTGGCCAAGGAGAGGGCCCGGCTGCAGCTGGAGCTCGCCAAACTGAGAGAGGACTTCAAGGAGCTGAAGGCAAGGTGAGCTGCAGCACAAGACAAACTCAACCTTTTTGTGTGGTTATGTATGTGTTCGTGACAAATAATATCTTCAATCAGTGAAAATGTACATTGCGGGAGGATAGGGGGGTTTAGGGGTGATCCCGCACGTTTGAGGCCCTGGATTCGTTAAAAGCACCCATGTGTGTTCATGAGATGTAGTTTATTCACAGTTCAACAGACTGTCAAACTTATTAAAGAGTTCAGCAAGTTCAAATAATTAATAAACCTAGAGAGTGGATTTAATCATCATGACGTCACCTTGGGGTTCAAAGTTTAGAGTTTGGCATTTTGGACATTACCATTTTTTTGTTTTTTTGAAGTTACCATTTTTGACGAGGGTGGAGCTAGAAAGGGATACTCCTCCTTCTAAGCCTCTGTCCTTATTGAGAGGTCAACATAGCAACTTGCCAATAGAAACGTAGCCAGGCCCTGTTACCAGATTTACCTAGTACTACCATGCTCTATTGTCTACTTTAGTTTAAATGGGACCCTAAATGACATTAGTAACTTCATGCTGTATTAAAGGAAACATAAAACTAGCGATTGAGACCATTCACTTATCAGGAAAATGTTGACTGAGGTAGGAAATCAAGTGAGGAGTAAGGTATAGTTTTCTTTTAGACTTCCTTACAACTGGACACACTTTCACTCAATTCATTAGACTCTGGGCTTTTCTGTTACAGCCTGACGTGGTCTGGGTATGCCCAATAGATAATGGTGGCTAATGTTAGCAAACTTTGGATTGGAATTGCTTTGTAACTTCAGAGATAGTTGGCTCTCATTATGACTATTTTCGAAATTACTGTTCACACATTTACTATAATCCCATAATTAGCACATGTGGTAACAGAGGCTGCTGTCACACTTAAGTAAAATTAAACTTCACTCTCAAAATACTTAACTTTAAAGATCTTGCAGTATAACAGTAGACATCATGTAACAAGAGCTGAAGAGCATACACCGTGTCACTGGTTGCCTTTTCTTCCAAGAAGATTTAAAAAGTCTTCCTGGTATGCCCTAAAATCAAATGAAAAGACACTACTGAACAAGATATTATGTTTATTGGAGGATCATGAGAGGAAGCAGCTGCCTCAAGGCTTATGAAAGCCCCACTTTCAACATCTTTCTATATTTGTCAAATATGTGATATGCTTCCCTGTAAAGAGTAGCAAAGGGATTGAGTAAATGAATCTTTAGTCCATTACAACATACTAGAGTGTGATTACAGTGATAATATCTGCATGTGATCCACAGCAGCAGATCAGAGTTACTCATTAGCTTTTAATAGCTGATGCTTTATATGTGACAGTGTGAGAGCTGCCCTGGTTCAGGGGCCACTCCCTGCCTGGAGCATACCCTCCTCATTGCTCACTGCTGCCTGACGTTTCTCCTCTTCCCATGCTGCCACATCCAGAGCCTGATGACTAACTCTTTCCCCGTTTCTCCTCCTACCAAGGCAATCATTATGCACACAATACGTGGCAGTGTTTAGAGGGCTGTACTCTTGCCTCCATTATTTTTCCATAAATGTTGAGACGACGGACGTTGTATGTTTGGCAAAGTCGAGCCGTCGCTATGGCAGTGTGTCAGCCAAACATAAACGGCTGTAGTTTGTGGCTACCGCAAACATGGGACTGAACGTTGATCGCTGTGGCCTATGAGTCATATGCACCAAGGTCTTTCCCGTCTCTATCTGGACTACATCCTTGATCTAAAATAGCTCATATTTGTTTCATTAGTCTCCGTAAAGGAAACTGTAGTAGTTCAGTTTCCACTTAAAGGGGACCTATCATGCAAAATGCACTTTTTTATGTCTTTTATACATAACTATGTGTCCCCGGTGTGTCAGGGAACTCACGCAGCGTCAGAAAATAAAACCCTCTCTCTTTCCCTCCGTACCCAAATCTCTAAAAACGGAGGTACAACGGAGCTGATCCAGATTTGCGGCTGATATGACGTCAAATCGGCGGTGGACCCACGGCCCTATCAGAAACGTTGCTATCAGAAACAATGCCCGACTGTTTTGGACGTAATATGGTCGGTGTTTACATTAGCATCGCTAACACTCAGAGCTAACCTGTACTGGAGAGCATGTGTGTGAAGAAGCAGGAAATAAAAAGGAAC